AGGGCCCGACCTCGGCAGCGCCCCTTGCCTCGGCTGCCAGCGCCACCCGCCCTCCCGGATCAGGGAGAGGAGCGCGGGGCGCAGAGACACCGGAGCCAGTGTCCGCCGGCCCCACCAAGCAAACCCGGCCGGGAGAACCTTCGCTCGGCCCTGCGCGGCTCCGCAGCCGTCCGGGAGCTGTCCCTTCAGCACCGCCGCGGAAACCAGAGTCCCAGCGCAGCCCAGCGGAACCTCTGACCCAGCCCGAGCGCACCAGGCGCAGCGCTCAGCGGCCGCCCCGCGGGGCAGCACCCAGGTGCCCCAGCCCAAGGGACCCGCCATCTCCTCCGGGAGGCGGGGAGAAGGATCTAGGAGGGCGGGCGGGCAGCTTCACCCGCCACCGAGGGGAATAAGCAAGCAGCCAGGCAAGAAGAGCCGAAGGGGACCGGCCACACAGGGAGGAGAGCAGCCTGCATCCATCCCCACCGCACCGAGAGCGCGCTGCGGCGACCACCGCAGAGCCGAGCGCGGATTTCCCGCCGCCCCCCCTCCTCTTATTTCCCGTGCTGGGGCTGGTCTATTGGTCCGGCCCCCGGAACGGAGCAGCTGACCTTCCCCTAAAAAGCTTTGTGTCGGTTTCACCATTTTCCCACTAAGATGGTACCGGGAGCCCGGCCCCCCCACCCTTTCTCGCCTCCTCCCGGGGCTCGCCGCTGAGCGCCGCCCCACATCCTTCCTCCCCCCTCTTCTTTCCCTCTTTCCTCTCCTCCTCTGCCTCCTCCGCAGCCAGGCCAGCTCCCTCTCACATTAGGTGCCTTAGAGACCCTTGGGAACCCGCACACACACCCCTGGACCGTTACCTGACTGCCAGCTCCCCTCGAGAGAGCTTGAGTCGCTCGTTGGGGTGGGAGGCCAGAGTCGCGGTCCTCTGTGCCCCCCGACGGCTGGGGGGGAGGGGGGAAGAGGCCCTGCGCCCCCCTCCCCGTCGCCAACTCCCCCTGGCGGCAGCTCCCATGGGTGTCGCTGGGCCGCGCCATGCCTAAGGGGGCGCCGCGATGGGCCAAGGGGACGAGAGCGAGCGCATCGTGATCAACGTGGGCGGCACGCGCCACCAGACGTACCGCTCGACGCTGCGCACGCTGCCCGGCACGCGGCTTGCCTGGCTGGCAGAGCCGGACGCCCACAGCCACTTCGACTATGACCCGCGCGCCGACGAGTTCTTTTTCGACCGCCACCCGGGCGTCTTCGCTCACATCCTGAACTATTACCGCACCGGCAAGCTACACTGCCCGGCCGACGTGTGCGGGCCGCTCTACGAGGAGGAACTGGCCTTCTGGGGCATCGACGAGACGGACGTGGAGCCCTGCTGCTGGATGACGTACCGCCAGCACCGCGACGCCGAGGAGGCACTGGACAGTTTTGGCGGCGCGCCCCTGGACAACAGTGCCGACGACGCGGATGCCGACGGCCCCGGCGACTCGGGAGACGGCGAGGACGAGCTGGAGATGACCAAGAGACTGGCGCTCAGTGACTCCCCAGATGGCCGGCCTGGCGGCTTCTGGCGCCGCTGGCAGCCGCGCATCTGGGCGCTGTTCGAGGACCCCTACTCGTCCCGCTATGCGCGGGTAAGTGACAGCTTATCCATCAGAAGGACCTGACCCGGAAAGGCAGCCCTTGCCGCTTCCCGCGGGCAGTGTGCAATGGGCAGTGAGTGCCCAGAGAGTTCTGAACTGAAGCTGGTGTGGATGTGTTTATGTGTGAGAGAAGGGGTGATTTCGCCATGGTGACTTGAGTTTGTACACATGAGTCTGTATTGTTGGTTGTATGAGAGCATATGAATGGGTGTTTGTGTGTCTGCTTGAGTAGACTGTGCATGCATATTTATGTAAGTATCCTGGTGTGTATTTGGATGGGTAAAGTATGTGGGAACGAGTGAGCATATGTGTGTGTTTGAATGTACGTGGCACGTGTCACACTCCCGTTACAACCCTTATGTGCCTTTAGCAGATGCACACTGTGAACGTGTGAATTGCCCTTTGGTTTGGGGGAAGTGGGGAACTCCTTCCTCCTTCCCAGGTCAGGGAGTCTCTGGAGTAGAAAGGTGTCTTAGCCTGCTGGGAAAATAGAGACAGGCAGCCCCTCTCTCCCCAGGGACCTTCTTTAAGCCATCTGAGGAGGTGGTCTTGGGAAAGCACGTGGCTAAATACCTTGATGATTGGTGTGGATCTGGGCTGGGGGTGGGGAACAGAGAACGGTGATCATGCTGACACCTGCCCTCCTGGGTCTGGGAAGAGCCTGGAGAAAGAGCTTAAGAAGGCCCTAAGCTCCTGTTTCCTCTGGCCCCTAGGAAGAATCTAGCAGAGAGGAAAACCTTAAGGGGAATTGTACCCAGAGGAAGTGTGTGAAGTGGGCGTGTCTTCCTCAGCCACACCCCTTTAGAAACAGCAAATTGTTACTAGAGAGACAAGACACCCTGTTGCTGACCTTGGCCTTCGGATTTGGCCTCCACGGATTAGTTTCCTGTGTAAAATGGGGAGAATGGTGAGCTGTAGGGACCATTTGATGGACCATCTCTCAAAAGAGACTCCACAGAGACACCTACCCTGGAAGACAAACTCTGGGTCTTTCAGAACTCTGTTCTCCCGCCTGAAGAGTAGCAGTGATGGGAAGGATGTGTAGAGGTGGGAATTTGAAGCAGCCCCTCCCCCATCAGTAAGGCACCTCCGCACCTCCCAGGCAAAACACTGCTTCTGCCGGCTGCCTTTTCCTGCCACAGGTCCCTTCTCTTTTGCTGACCTGGAGGCTGAGCCAGAGCTGGGGTAGGGGGCACGAGGAGGGGTTGGGATCCACAGAAGGTCAGTAGACAAACAAGAGTTGGGGGAGGGGTCTGAGGTGCCCAAGAGCGAGAAAGACTGAATAGGCAGACACCTGACAAATTTGATGCTGAGAGAAAACAGAAAGACATGTGGGGTGGGGACAGCTGCTCAAAAACTCTGCCTTGAATCCTAGACCAGGTGCCGGGGTAGAGATGGAGAGAGATGGAGAGAGAGCACTCATTTGGCCTCCCACGTCGCCACTGAGGAGTTTGGCCAAGGTCAACCTGAAAGTAGGGGGCCAAGTAAAACTTGACTTGAACTCTCCCGGACTCTATTCTCCCCTGAGCTAGCCACTGGCTCCGTTTTTTTTTGTCCAGGGTGGCCTGGGACCCTGTAGAGGAGGCCTGTCTTCTTCCCTCCTCTCCTTGATGACAGAGACCACTATGGCTAGAGGATTATGTAACTAGAGGCTATGCTGAGCTGTGAGGAAGGGCTGGAACGTGGGACTGAGAGAATGAACCAGTATAGGCTGGGAGAGAGATGCCCTGCCTGGCGGGCTAGGTCAAGGCCTGGGTTAGAGCAACCCTTCCACTTACATTTGACCTTGACCCCTGGAAGGTAAGGCCAAGCAGGTCCAACTTCTCTAGGGTAGTGGCAGAGGGCTGGGCCCCTCCAACCTGCCACCTTGGACTCTGCTCTGGTCAGTGTACCCATGTCTCAGGGCAGGTGAGGGTCTGTAGGGTATATTTCACCTGCCTCACTTGCTCTTCCCACCCACTGGTCATTCCTAGGCTGTGGGGTGGCCTTCACTCACTGGAGACAAACAGAATATCTAAGGTCAGCTTGAGGTCAGTGTAAGACCACAAGGCTAAGCCGAGAAACTCTCACATGAGTGTCCACTGAAGAGCAAATGCAGGGACAATCTGGACAGTTAGCAGCGGCAGGTGGGGAACTGGGGTACAGGTGAGCATTACTAGGTGCCCCCCTGTATAGCAGTGAGACTTTCTCTCTCTGGTAGCCTCATGGAGAGGTTGTAGTCCTTTTTCACGTGTATGGGTACCATATGAGGACACTGAGACCCACAGAGGGAAGGAGACCTAAAGGGATTAGAACCAGGCTCCTGCTGCCCGCCCGCCCGCCTGGCCAGCCTAACTGCATTGCGCTGCCTCTCTGCAGCCCCGCACAGAGACCAGCCTGCTGCCTGCCTCCTCCCCCTTCCATCTTTGCTCTGATGCTGCCCCGCTGTTACCTCTGTTTACTCCTCCCCCTCAGCCTGGAAAAGGCTTCTCAGATTGGTGGGGCTGGGTTTAGCACTCATTTTTTTTCTAGATTCTAGACCTGAATCTCATGTGTGATATAGTCTGGGTGTGTGAAATAAAAGCTAGAAACGCTTGTGTGTGAGCTTCTGTGTGGGTGTGTGAGAGACTCCTCGTGTGTAAGAATAAAAATGTTAGGTGAGTGTGATTGAGGACACACACGTGTGTTCCTGTGTGTTCAAGTGTGTGTGTGTGTGTGTGTGTGTGTGTGTATGTAGAGGCCCTGTGAGAGAGAACTGTGTAATAAGACAAAAAGAAGATGCATGTGTAAGAGAAATGCTGCATGTGAGAGTCCAGGTCAGTGGATCTCTGTGGTATGTGTGGGCAGGTGTGCAAGTGTACATGTGAAGCTGTATCTATGTGTGAGCCTATGTGTGTATATTCTGTGTGATAGAGTGTGTGCGGCTATGTGTTAAGAGACTGCGAGGCCCCGTGTGTGACAACGTGTGTTTTGTACAAGAGGGATTTTTGATGTGTGTCGTTGTTGCTGTTAGAGCTGGTGAGAGAGAGGTTGTGTGGCCTGGCTCTACCTGGAAGAAGGTGATATTCGTAGGTTCCCTGTCTGCTGTATCCAGACTCCTGGGCTGTCTGACTGAAAAATATCCTTGCATTCCATGCCTCAGATGATGTGTGTCCCAGTCAGGCTTGGTGTGGATGCGTGGGCCAGCAGCGAGGTCACTTCCCCCGTGGAGCTATCAGGATATTGGCTGTGGGAGATAGGAGCTCCTTGGTTGGAACATGACATCCTATTGGAGCTGTAAGGGGCAGCAGTGCTGGCCAGAACAGCTAGTCCCCTGTCCTTCCACAGTGAGGGTGGGGAGTGAGGTGAGCTGGGGCAAGTTGAGCCCCACTTGTAATCTGGATTTGGGGGTGTTGGAGCCTCAGACACACAGAAGGTATGAGTGGTGATGTAACTTTGCAGATGCGGGGATGAGGTGTCCTGGGATAAGCTGACTCCTGAGGTCACACTGGACAGGCACTGAGGGGCGAGCCGGTGTTGGCAGGCAGAGTAAGCGCATGCAGTTCTTGTATGGAAAGTTGCAGCGGTGTGGGAGCAGGTGGATAGGACTGCACTCCTCACCTCCTGAGAGTCAGCTGAGGTCAGGATCCTTAGGTCTTTGTCTGTGATTTACAGGTCCCCAGGAGCATTGTTCAGTGTCATATCAAGGCCTAGATGGTCTCCAGGCTTCGGGCCAGGGAATGTTCCTGATATGAGTATGTGTGTCAGTGTGGTGGCTCCAGCCCCCTGAGGTCACTCGGCCTGATGATGCCAGTGGTCGCACAGCTGGGGAAGCCCCACCTCAGTGTGCTCTGCTGTTCACCTCTCCTCCGACTCCGTCTTTCTCTGTCTCTCGGCCCCGTCCCGTAGTCTTTAGGGCATGTAGTCCTGCCTCTTCTTAGCTCTTTGGGGAGAAGGTCACCCAGTGCTTACAGCGGAGAGCCCAGACAAAGAATTCTCTTCCTTCCCTGGGTCCCACTTCCGAGACAACTCTGTGAGCCCAGGCTGTGAGGTGAGGCAGACGGAACTATTAACAGGGACTTCTTAGGAAGCTCGTTCCTGCCCAGGACAGGGCATACCAGGAGATATGGTGGCATGTAATGGAAACCCATGGCAGCATGGTCAGAAGTCCTTGTATTTTTTTTTTTTGGTACCTCCAAGCCCCCAAGGCCCTTTTGGTAAAGAAAACCACAGACTAGGTATCTGGTAAGTTGGAGTCCTTCAGCCCCATCACTGATGAGCCGACTTACTGGGAGGACTGACCATAGAGGTTCACATAGAGTGTCTCTGAGGTAACCATGGGTGACCACAGGCACAGAGGAAACAGGAAATTTGGGCTGCTGTTGAGGGTTATCATGTGGCTGGTGTTTCTGTTGTGTCTCTGAACTTCGTCTCCTCTATCGCCATGGCCACCACTGTGCTTCCGACCACCGTGGCTCCCTCAGGCCTACCTCTCCAGCAGGCTCGGAGCTATTTTCCCACTCCAGTCCCAGGTCCTTCTAGTCCATTTTTTTCTGTTTGGCAAACACAAAGGCCTTTTCAACTGAAAAACTGGTCAGGTTACCAAAGCCTGCAAGGCGTCCCAGGTTCATTCTGGGCCTCTTGGATCCAGCCCGACTCTCCAATGTGCTCTTGCCTGGCTTTAGTCACCGATCACAGAATGATTGTCTGACCTGGCTTCATTGCTTACAGTTCGAGATCATGGCCTGTTCCCCCTGGAGGACTCTTTCTTCCTAGTTCACTCCCCTTTCTTTGCTCTTCACACCCACCTAAAAAGAAGCTCCTTAGCGGTGTCCTTCCTGTCCCTGATAGACTGGATCCGGATTCAGTCCCAGGGTCCATCCCTTCAGAGCAACAATCTGATCGGTAGTTGGGTGTTCATGAGAAGCCTTACTCAATCCAGGGTTATATCCTCCAGGTCCTAAGCTTCCTCTGCACTTAATATTGTAGGAGCTATTGTGACAGAGGAGGTTGAGGCTCAGAGAGGAGTGCTG